TTACTTCTCCGTATCAGGTATAATCCTTCCTTCTTTTTGGTTCAGATCTGGTTCAGTTTATGGTTCAGAATTGATCCTTGAAAATATGATTTTCTAAATGGGGAATACGATTCCCAGTTGAAGGGAGAGAAAAATTTTTGAAATTCGCCCCTTATTCCGCAATCTTTTGGGCATCCATAGGATGGATCTCTCATCCCTTCAACGGCACACCCTAGAACCAAACTAATAAGAAAAAAGACAAGTATCTTAAGAAATCAGCCTACTAACAGCAACTATAAAGTAATAATTAAATAAGCCTTACAACATTATCGAATCTTGGTTCGAGCTGGTCCATTTGAAGCCCGAGGTGGTGGTTGAAACAAAGCTTGCAGTGTCGATGCTTCAGGAACCGGCGGGCCACGAAGAGAAATAGACTGCTGATGGTGTTCTTCTTGAAGTATCAAAGAATACGCCTTGTCGAGACAGGGCAATGGATCTGACCCGAGGATGCTGGACCGTATGGTTTCATGCAGGCCCATAAGGAACTGATGCAATCTTTCCTTCTCTCGTTCAGCCGCAAGTATCTTTGTAGCAGCGCCACATGCGCATTCCGGATATGTGATCAAGGTGCCGAGCTCATCCCAGAGTGTTTTTAATCTGGTGAAGTAGCTGGTGACAAAGAGATCGGCTTGTTGTAGCATGGCCAGATCCCGTTTCAATTGATGGATTCTTGGAATGTCACTCTGCGAGTATCGGATGGCATTGCATTTCTCGCAAGCAGTCCATTCTGGCGAGGTAGGGTCAAGACGTGATAAAGATCCGTCTATGAAGCAGATTTTAATCTTGGCACAAAGAGCGTTTTTCATAGCCCTCGGACAAGTTGGATAATTGTCGTCGGTGAGCAACTGCGAAACCAGGATGTTTCCTGGACTGTCGGAGGGGAACAAGAAGAAAGGAGACAACAGATCAATGGATGCCGACAGATTACTAGTGGATGATGAAGTTGTCATCTCTCCTATCCAGTGGAACACAAGAAGAAAGGAGACGGAGACGATGAAGAAGAAAGGAGACAGAGACGATGAAGTCGGCAGATCACCGTTGTTGCAAGTAATTGACGGCGACGGCCATGGATTATTCCAAGTGCTCTGATACCATGTAAAACTGGTTCAGACGCAGAACGCAGAGCAACAATTAGAGAAGAAGAACGTGATTTCATTAAGTGACTGAGATATTTATAAATACAATTTGGAGGAGAAAATAACTGACTAACAGTTGTACACCTAAGCCCGAAGGTTGTTGTAACAGATGACAGCTGTACAACTAACTTACAGTTGTAATATCTCTAACAAAACCCCTTCTATTTGAGAAGCAAAATATTGAGTCTTTGGCATAGTTTTAAGGTACATTAGGACTTATATTTTACCTCTTCATTTATTTCCGTTTCTACTATATGCATGCTTATATGCATTTCAATGGTGATATACATAGATTATGTTCAAATTCTCTTTAGCTGAACCTATTAACTACGTGAAATCCATTGGAAACTCACCAAGCTGGCCTGACTTGCCAATGGAGTTCCCATTTGATTTTAATTTTATTAACATCAGCTATGATACTGTTCGGGATGGATACAGTCCAAAACTTTTTCCCCAAATGGTTATAGGTAAAAAAAAAAAAAAAAATCTTTTACAAGAAGAATGAATACCCCAATATCATTCTTACAGCTTATGCCTAAACCTGGGGATTTACAAGGGAAACAGGTATGTAGTGTTTGTGCAGAGTGGGAAGGTTCCTAGCAGAGGAAGCATCATTAGTTATGTTGATTCTTGCCTCATGAGTTCCCTACGCCTTCACTTTGCGGACAGTAGTTCATTCCAGTAAATAATATATGATAAATATGAGATCCTCTAATTTACCTTTGCATCTACTGGTTAAGTCAAATCCAGTTATGAAAAGACATCCTCATACTAAGAAGCATTCTCACGAAACAATGTTGACACCCACTAGGCCACGACAACTTCTGCTGCTACAAGATTGTCCAGAAAGGTCGACCATGATGTATTTGCAATATGCAATTATAATTTCGTCATTCTCACGAAACAATGAGACCTACTTTGATCGGAAGAACCACAATACTGAATCAACATACTAGAAGAATACGCCATGTCAAATACAAAGGAGATTGTAGGATAAGAGGACGGAGTGGGATGATTTCTAACAGTTTCTGCTACAATTTGCAATGACCTCCAGAGCAGTATCGAGTCTCTTCAATTAAATTTACATGCCGACACTAAATGGATGGTTAAATGGGGGTTATAATAAAACATCCTCTAATTGTATTCGTTTGGTCGTTTCTATTCCTGCAATCCGTGGCAACAGAGATCAATCAAACTACTAGAATTTTATCACAAAACCCGTTCAAAGACCGAAAGGGCATGCAATTAGTGTTCTCCGTTACTTCATTTCAGTATCAAAGAAGCCACAACAATAAAACATACAACTCGTGGATATTAAAATTGTTGGAAAGAAATTCCTAAAATCCAGAAAACTCGAAAGGCCCAGAATTTACCAAACCTGTAACAAAATATGACCGCTGGAAATCCTCCTTAATGGTTTCTACAACCTGGGTACGATCAAGCACTTCCGACCTATCATCTGCAAGCTCGAGATTCCGATCGGGAGCTCCGGGGTTGGATGGGGAACGGAGAAAAGATGCAGCAATCCCAAGGAGCTCCGAGCCGTACCAGGCCGCCTTAAGCAACAAATTCTCGGATTGGGAACCTCTATCGGTCGATGAGCTAGTTGTTGTTGGGTTCTTTCCATTACACTGGAAAGTGCGAACTCTCCGGCGAGTAGGAGACCGATAGATGACATATCGGCGCTGTGAATCGAGGTTAGGAGCGATGGAACTGAAGGAGAAGACAGATACCATTTTCATGAAACTCGAAAGGTAGGCGCTGAGGGGAGGCTTTACCCGCGGTTCCGGTTTCTTTCGAAAAATCTCTCGCGCGCGAGTGAACGGTAGCCACTTGCCACTCCACTAGCCGGAAGAACTACGAGATCAGGATAAGCTAATCCATGGGACCACTATAAACCTCGATTGTCTACTGTTAGATCCAAAGACTACGGAGCTCAGGATCAAATGATGAATAACAAACGGTTCACAAGTAGCTGATCGACCGATGGAAGTCTCATGGAACTGAACAGAACTCACAGCACTGAGCACTCTTGTAATGCGAATGCTGGAGTCATGGGTGCAAATGATCCGATCTTATTTGTCGAATTCGGATCACCCCTATCCGATCCGATATATATTATATATTTATAAATATATATAATATATTATCTATTTATAAATATATTTTTATAAATTTATTATATTATTTATATTTTTATAAAAAAATACATATATATAATAAAAATAATTAAAAATATTTATATTTTTTGTTTTTTATTTTATTTAAATTAATATATTTAAAAATAATAAAAATATTTATATTATTTTAATAATTTATTAATTTAAAACAAAAATAAATCGAATCGATTCAAATCAGAAAGTCCAACTTACCCATAGAATTCGAATTCAAGAATGAATTGATTGAACGGAACGGATATCACCAACTCTGCGCTTTGTAATCACCCTTCCCTAGAGTGCCGCCCATTACTTACCACTTATGCGGTTCATTGGTTATAAGTTTTTTTCTGGATCATGAACCGCGGTTCATTTGATATGATACCGAAAAGACATGATATCCGAACAATTCAAGGGCTTCGATTGGTTAAATCTATACAGTATAATAATGTCTTTTTTATTTCAATAGATTTTTCCTAAGGCAACGTTTGTTTGAGGTGAAAAATTGAACCAGGGTAAACTTTATGCCCCGGTTTAATTTTGTATGCATTTGGAAATAATGTAGTTTTGCATTGTAAATCGGTGTAAAGCTCCATTTTCAAAGACTACTTATGGATGGTGTTTGAAATTATAATGATGCTTTTCATTTCAATCATGGTTTTTAAAACCGAATTGGTGACTGAACCGATCAAGGGTCTGGTTATTAGTTTGAACAGTCTGACCGTTCGACTTGAATGGCCGGCCCGATTTGACAAAAAAAATGGCCAAAACCGTTCGAATGGTTCAAACAGTTAACCAATCGGTTCAACAATTTGCTGACCAAAATCAACAATTTTGGGGAAAATCATGGTTTCAATTATGTCCCTTTAGCTAAAGATAGTCTCATCTATTTTAATGAAATGAATTGTTGATAAATTTTTCTTTAAGAAATTGTTGATAAGTTGTGAGATAAATGTGTGTGTGTGTTTGTTAATTATTTATTTATTTTATTTTTTGAGGGGGAAGGCATCATAGATATTAGTGTCTCATATCCATTAAAATTTACTTGGCCAAAGTTCTCCTGGTATCATACATTTCTAACATTATAAGACTTTCTTCTTTTTTTCTGGTAAAACGCACTCCTTCCCCTTGGAAATGAGATCCCATTCTAGCTTATTCCAATTCCTATCTGAACCAAACAGATTGTGGGAATAGACCATTCCGATTTCGATTTCAACTATGAATCAAATGGGCCCTCAGTCTCACAAGGGAGCATCTAGGGGTATATAACTATGACTATCTCTTTTTTATCAATAATTGAAATTCATTCATTAAAAGAAAATTAGGGATGTACAAAGAAGAGAAGAGATAAACTCTCTTAATTCTTCCTATACAATAATACACAATTACAACATAACCCCAAAAAAAAAAAATCCTTTTCCACCCCTTATCTAGCCAATGCATTAATAAAGCAATTAGCTTTTTGTCCAAAACAAATTGACTTTCATTCCTTGTGTCAACCACTTGAACTTTCTTTTTTCATTAATATAATCCACCACCTTATCTTCTCCTTTTTGTAGCCAGTTTATAACCAACTTTGAATCACATTCAATTATTAATTTGAAGATATTTAATTTCTTGTTTTTTTGAATCCCTTCTATGAGTCAGGAATTTCAGCCCTTAAAAGAGTCTCCCACACCTATAGGACCTTAAAAAGGGAAATAGTTCTACCTTTCTCATTTCTAAAAACTCTTTTTATGCCTAGGGGACTTGGATTAACTTCATTACTACCACCAAAATTCAACTTAATAAAACCACTTGATAAGGGAGATCATGATGGCATTGTGATAACTTTCAAAGGAGCAGAGTTAGCCATTTCCTTTCACGATAGCCTAAATAAATTTCTTAAACTACCCCTAAGATTTAGGAAATTGACTAACTATACCCCTACTGTTTCAGTATTATCTTAAAGTATCCCTACTGTTTTGGACAATTGTCGTAATTGTTAAAAGGTAATGAAAAAAAGTAAAATGTCCATTTTACCTTCTACTGTTTCTCAAATTTTCAAAATAAAACCCAACTGCTGAAAAGGAAAAGGAAACAGCAATTGCTCCACCTCCACAAACTATTATGAATATCTTTGTCAGTATAAATAAGGTTACCAAAGAACTACGAATCTGGGTTTGGCGGAAATACCCTTAGTCTACCCTTACTGTTTAAACTAAAATTGGAATTCCCCAGCAAAAACTAAAGACAGAAGAAAATAAACTCACCCTTCAGTGCCTTAATAGCTCCAACTTCCAACAAAAGGCTAAATTTGGTGATCCAAAGTATAACAGCATATGCAACCTATCCAAGGAAATTCATGATCATCAAATGTAGCACCAAATTGTAGAGCACAAAGTCGGCAAATGCACGTTCTGGTGGCAAGTCCTTGATTTCCTTGTTCTCTTTGTTAACCCGAATGTGAAGGCAAACAGCTAGACACAAGAAAGGACTCCTGAAAGTAAAGAATTGAATGGGAAAAATCCAACAATTGCCATGTAAACAATCTGAATTAATGCTGCAAAAATCACGTAGAGATCAATTATCTTGAGATTTGCGGGTGTAGCGATGTAGGCCAAGCGAAGAGACCAGAAGAGGGCTTGGGTATCCTTGGATGTCAACCTCGCCATACTTTCTCTTCTTTCTGTTTCTCCGACGACGACAACACACACAAAAAAAAAAAAACCTTAGCAAAAATTTATCTGTTGATTTCTTTGGAGGATTTGTTGCAGATTTAAATTTTTTGAAGATTGAACCATTGAACTTCTAAGAGAGAGTTAGAAGTTCATTTCTGGTTACCAAGGAACTGCGAGTCTGCAAAGGGAGGGTTCCTGACCGTGTTGGGTGTGTGGAATGATGCTTCAGGCACATTTTCCAACCGGTGGTGTTACTGTCAAAAGCTGAAGAGAGGAACAAGAGAAGCGAAGAGAAGAGGGATAGAGGGTAGTATTGGGTTTTAAAAGTATTTATACACCACGTGTATATGGATTTTGACAAGAGGTAGGAGTAGAGTTAGTCAATTAGCTAAACTTTAGGGGTACTTTAAGAAATTTGTCCAAAATTTTGAAGAAATGAAACTCGCACATGAAAAAATAAGAATTATGTAATGGCCAATTGGTCAATGTCTAACCCCAAAGCCACTCTCCATGTGGAAGTGGAACACAAAGGGGGTGTTTGGCCAATATGCTTTTGTTTTTCAACACAAAAAGCAATCATCACAACAGCAAAATCAATGGAAAATATCCCTTCACTTGTTTGTTCCTCACCACCTTTTTTTATTTGCAGTCTCTTTAGTACTTGAAAACTATCCAATATTTAATAGGGAGAATGACTATTCAACACACCCTAAGAATTCTTAGCCTCTTGGGGTAGGTGTCAGTTCGGAATTGATGTCAATACATGGGTGGGTATTGGTGTTTTAGGGTAAAGGTGTTTGCCATTTTAAATTGTTTAGGATTGTAGTGGAATTTAAAATTCTACGGTGTAGTGCAATGTACTTTTTCATATTTAATATGAAGGTGCAACTAAGGGTGCAATTGAGTCAAGCCAAGTTGAACTTATGCATGTATTGGCTCAGTTCGACTAAAATACTTTTAGGCTCAAGCTCAAGTTTAAGTTCGATTTGAACTTTATTTCCTGATTTAAGCACAAGATTAAATATTTGATGAACTCAAATTCAACTCAAGAGCTCAAAAAGGAATATATTTTTTGTATTTTATAGATATATATGTGATATATATTTTATAATATAATATATAGTATATTCTTATATTATATATAAAATATAAAAATATATTTTATCATATATATTATAAATTATATTTTTATATATTCTATAATATATGTATGTATGTATGTATGTATCAATGTTTTCAACCCGGCCAGTTAAACTGCTCGAACTGTCACCCGATCAAGATTCCAGGTCCGATTCGAGTAAAAACTAGAGAAATGTCAAAAATCATCTGAGACAGTTGGACCATTGACTCGGTGGACCCAATGACCGAATCACTGGTTGCAAACTAAGGCCTTGTTTGGTGCCTCTAATCTCTTAACGCTAAAGTGGTTTCGTACCACTTTCACCGCTAAAGAGGTGTTAGGTGGCTCTTAACACTGAAGCCTAATTATAGCTAAAGTACAAATGACTCAAGCCATTATTTTAATAGATTTTACCCATATTGCCCCTCTAATGCTCAATTAACTTATAACATCTCATATGAAGAACCATCAAACCCACCACCAATATTTTATTTTCCCCATAATATTATTATAATGCAATATTATAATAACTATAATATTCATATTATATTATTATTATAATAATAGTTCACTAACTATATTATTCATTATCGTCTTATAGTGCTATTAATAATTACTTACAGCAATTGTTATAACTAATTATTTAGAATATTATTTACCAATTATAATATTATATTGAAACCAATAATTATTTATATTCAATAGTATTATAAATTATGAATAGTAATAATATAATATTAATATAATATTCATAACACTAATATTATAATATAATCATATAATATTACTAAAATTATAATATGTTATAGTAATATTCTAGTAGAAATTAATTAATTACAATATTAATTATCATCGTACAGTTTCATTAATTATTAATTACTAATTAATTAGTAATTATTAATAATAATTCATTAATTAATATTAATAATAATTCATAATTAAGTAATAATTAATTATTAATTAATTAGTCAATCAATCAATCAATATTAATAGTAGTTAATTAATTATTAATAATATTTATTAACTAATCATAATAATTAATTATTATTGCTTATTAATAATTAATTAATTATTATCAATAAAAATATTAATTATTAAAAATAGTATTATTTAATCATAAAAATAAATAATTATTTATTAATTAATAATTAGTGATTAATAATTATTGAATCAATTATGAATTATTAATTATTAATTACTAATTAATTGTTAATTAGTAATGATATTTCATTAGTTAATTAATAATAATAATTCATAATTAAGTAATAATTAATTATTAATAATAAGTATTAATTAATCATAAAAATAATTAATTATTAATTAGTGATTAATAATTAATGAATTAATCATTAATTTATTATTAATTAATTAATATTAATAATCAATATTAGGTAATATTTATTATAATAATTTTTATTATTGTTTCTTTATTGAATTATATAGATAAATAAAAATTCTCTTATATGGGGTTAAATTGGACATTTGACATTTTTCAGAATTCAAAATTCAGAACAATGTTCTCCATATTCAGAGTTCAGAGGAAAGAAAAGTTTACTAATACCAATATACCTCTTAATGTAATTATTGCACTTTCAAAGGTCAGACATCAGAGCAAACAAACATGCCCTAACTATGCATACAAACTTCAAGAGGCCATAACGTTGCACTCTAATATCCAATTGAGGTGATTTTTTTATTTTGGTTAACTTTTTAGAACTATGCGTCCCAAGGCGCCTTGCCCCACTATTTTCAAGAAAAAAAATCCCTTTTTTGGCCTCAAATCACAATGTTTAATGTTTTTATAAATAAAAAATTAAAAATTATGAAATAATACATATATCATACCTAAAACATAATTATACATTATTTATTGAATATATACACACACACTTAAAATATATAGATGTTGACATGACACGGTCTAAACCGTTTAACTCGACTAATCGAACCGATGACCCGCAACTCAAATGCAAAAATAGTTCTGTCCCTGGGTCAGTGGTTTTTAAAACATTGTATCTATTTTTATATTCTATAATATATGTTAATGAGCTAGGCTAACGAGCTTTTGAACAAAACTTTTTATTGGTCGAGCTCAAGTTCAAATAACTAATCAAGCTTACCTTGAGTTTCAAACTCAATTAGAATCAAATTGAAATTGAGCCTAATCGAACTCAAGCCCAAACTGTTCAGAATTCAGTTCAATTGCAGCCGTAGGTGCAACTGTGCAACCATTCGTGGCCTGACTTTATCTTCTCAACAAATCAATAACCAGGCGCATATATAAAGCAGGATCCACTAGTACAGATGAAGATACAATCTTAGTTTTCATTTCTGTAGATAAAACATCAAATTTCATGTCCCAGAACATACAAGGGTATGTCCACAGCTAGTTTCTAAGTGTAAGTCCATAGCTAGTTTCTCCATAAAACTAGCAGGAGAAACCCATGAACATTTCAAATTAAGCAGGGGGATAAGACAAGGGGATCCCATCTCTGCTTACCTTTTTATCATTGGAATGGAGGTACTAACCCTGTTGCTCAATCAGGCTGTGTTATCTGGACAAATTGAAGGAATTCAGATCAGCAAAGAAGCCATTCCAGTCACTCACTTATTCTTTGCAGGTGACCGTATTCTATTCTGTAGATCCGATTTGGTGCAAGTCAAGGCCTTGGTAAAAGTCTTCAACGCTTTCAAATCCATGTCAAGGTAAAAGATAAACTATTCTAAATCAAGCATCTTCTTCAACAGAAATGTGCTTCGACATCACCGCAAGTTTCTTTCACATACCCTCCATGTGAAGAAATCACTAGTAAGTTCCAAATACCTTGGTAACCAAATTGGTACAAACCCTCGTCTCTGTTCTACCTACAAAGAAGTCCTTAGCAAAGTGTCAACTAGAATAAATGTATGGAGCTCAAAACTGTTGTCCCAAGCATGCAAAACCACATTAGTCAAATCAGTCTTGCAGTACATCCCAACATACTCCATGTCTACAACAATCTTCCCAAAAGCCACAAACTCAAAATTAGATAATTGGGAGAACTACACACACTATCTCTTAGGGCAAGATATGTAAACATAAACAACAAGGAGGACTGGGCTTCAGATCTTATGGGATTATGAACAAGGCCATGTTTGGGAAATAAATCTGTCGGCTCTTAAGTGATAACAAGGGTACTTGGAGCAAGCAAATAAAAGCCAAATATTTCCCTCGTACCTCTCTATTTGTTGCTCCAAAAACCAGAACTAGTTCATACTGGTGGAAACAAGCTCACTCCATTCTACCACAGTTAAAGACAAACTTACTGTGGTCAATCAAAGATGGCCGAGACACCCTAGCCATTACTGACCCGTGGATACCCACTTTACTGGGGCACATCCCAAGTCTGAACCCCTTGATATCTGAACCACAAGTCAAGAACCTAAAGGTTCTTGGGACACTTCCAAACTAAACATTCTCTTCCAAGAGTCTGCGTTTTCTCATGTTTTGTCAATAACTCCAAATACAAACCAATCGGTAGATAAAGTAATTTGGAAGAACAAATCGGGTGTATACTCGATGAAATCAGCCTATCAACACTTATCCTCATTTGAAAGCTCCAGTTCCGGTTCTCATTTCAACTAGAAACTAATTTGGAAGCTCAAAATACTGCACAGATTCCAGGTTTTCTTATGGAAACTAATATGAGATGGCTTGCTAAGCGGAAATGCTTGGCTTGGCTGCAAGAAGAGGACCGAATGTGCAACTTCTGTCATGTTAGTGAGGAGACAACCTTCCACCTGTTCTTTGAATGCACTTTTGCAAGAGCAATTTGGTGTAAAGCCTAAATTGGGCTAAACCCAGCCACAATATCGGGAAATCAACCCCACACCACTATCACCAAATGGTTTACAAGCCTAAAATCAACACTAGGTGAGCAGCAAGCACTCTTGTATCTTAGCAGGTTCAGTATCATCAAAACAAAGAACAAAAGCATATTCGAAAATAGACAGCCTGATACCTATCATGTCATACAGACATCATCCCATTTCCCCCTAACGCATATCATCCAGCATAGGCAAAGCCACCACACCACCTCATCACCACAGTTCATGCCAACCCTACATGTCGACGGCTCCTTTGATCCTAATACAGGCTATGCAGGACGAGAGTTCACCATCTAACATGCGCAGCATCAACTCTACATTGCAGAAGGGAAGCCTTGCTGTCCTAAAAGGGCTGCGAGCAGCACAATCGCATGGCATTAACCATCTTTTGGTATTCTCAGATAGCGCAGCCTTAATGGAGTTTGCTACTATAGATAAGCCAATCCAATGGTCCGATCATTTGTTTGCAAAGACTGATATCATCTTTTGAGGTTATTAAGTTTGTACATATAAGTAGGAACAACAATCAAGCGGCTCATCTTTTTGCTTACATTTCATGTAAGGGCCGCATATCATTGCATCGTAACTCCCCGCATGCAAGACTCATATAACTAATTCAATGCTGTTTTATTATTAAAAAAAACATACAAGGGAAAACAATTAAAAAAGAAAAAGATCCGTGGTTAATTGTAATTCAATTTCTTGCAGTCTATTCTTTCCTCGCCTATTTTTCCTATGATAAAACTACGCATTGCAGACACCCCAATATGGAACGATCTCTATGACAACACCAAACACAAATTAGCCATGAGAAAGCAGAGGCGTTGGTAGCCATTCTATGTAATTCTACAGCTAATCGTTGCCGAAACCAGAAAATTCGATGGTCTTCATGACATAAATTAGCACAACATCTCAATTGCAGCAGGTAAAACACAAAATTTCCTGGGAAGAAACCCTAAATGTTCTCCATCAGACTGAACATAAATGCTGCCACCACCTGTAATTTCTTCCACTTCAATGGTCTTAACACTACAAAAACAACCATTCAACTGGTAAGAAAAAAAGGAGATTAAAAACCAAACATAGTAGCCCAAGGGTGGATGGATGTCTATAACATAGTATGTAAATGAAATATTTGAAGTCAAACATGAATGCGGAAGGTTACAATAGAAAAACAAGTCCCCATAGATGTGTAATTATAGCGTGTATTTGCAACACCAGAGATTTTTCATCTCACAAAAAGTCAACAGTTTTTCTTTCTTTTTTTTTATCAGTAAAATTATTTCATTCATTCAAATTAAAGCATTGATGTTAATACAAATGAGGTATTCCCCTTTACAAGCTAATAAAGTCCATTTACAAGTCAGCCCAAAACAGTTGTTCCCTATACACCCCTATTTAGCCATCCTATTTGCTTTCCTCTTTAACCATCTAAAGGTTGCACCAATTCCTTTTCTATGCTCTTTATCTCTCTTATAGTGAGCCTGTACCAAACCCCAGGGTTGCTGTAACTCATCCAAGAGAACCAATTTTGAGCGCCCCCCCCAAATCTCCATGACTCCCATCTTTTGAAAGCCATAGGCTTATGAAAGGAGTAGGATCCAGTGTATGCAAATCCATGGGTGGATTCCATCAACTCTGCGTCACTCCATAAGCAATTCAGGAGTTACACAAAGTTTTACCAAGGACCTTCTTTTTCTTTGTACGCATTGCAGTTGCATATAGGGCTGTCAATGGGTCGGGTCTACCGACTCTACCCGATAGACTGGTTTTATTTTGTGTCCCGATTAATATCGGTTTGGGACTGGTTTTGACTGTCCCGAAGCCATTATATATATACATGTCTTAGAGTTATAGGTATGCCTAAAATTGTAATTTTACTTTTAACACCTAAAATCCTCGAGCTCAAAACCTTTTGGCCTTTACCCTTTTGTTTTTCTTTTGCCACTTGAGGCTTTAGCTTCTAAAGTTCTACTTGTCACTTTCTCTTTCTCTGAGAAAGTTTCTCATCACCGTCTCTGCGTCTCACCAATTCTCAGTCACCACCGTCTCCTACACACAAGCTCTACCATGGACAAAGAAAAAGAGAAGATGGGGTAGAAGAAAAAAAGCTTATCACAGTTTAAATACCACCCATGTGAACATGGGACTGGGAGTACCAGATAAATGGGTGGCTAGTAAGTGGGCTCTAGCTTAATTGCTGGATATTTCAATTCTTGAATAAGCAGGCAGTCTGATTTCAAGATCACTCGATAGATGCAGGTTTGCTTAGTTTTTTCCCAATAGCTTCAATTTAATTGCTATTATTTTGTTTTTAGTAAGGTTAAACTGAAATTATATAGGATTGTAGGCTGTTTACAGATTATTTTTAGCAAGATTATATAAGTACAACAGGGTTTTTTTTGACAAATATCCTACTGATATTCTGAAAACAAGTTATTGAACAAAATGTTCATTTCTTATCAAACTAGCATCAAGTAAGTCCTTTCTTGCTGCTGTATTCATTAGTATTTTTATTAATATAGAATATTTTATCAAAAACTACAGGTCTTACCATCTTAAGTATGGGTTTTTATTTAATCGAGTCCAATCGGGTTAGACCCGATTGTTCCGATTGGCCCGTTGGTTTGGTACCGGTTGTGAAATAATAGAACCGATCGGGTCTGGTTTGGTTCCGATACTGTCGGTTTTAGCAGTCAGTTCAGAATGGTTCTACCCTGTCCCGAACCAGACGACCGTTGAAAGTCATTGTTTGGGCAGGAAAAAACTCCCTCTATAACCAGTCAGGAATCATTTCACTGATTCAGTAAGACTAGGACCAATCTGTTTTCTTAAAGATGAATCCTAATTACTAGAGATTATTGTTGCAGAAACTAGGCCATTACAATAAAACCCTTATGATGCACTGTGTCTTAAGGTCATAATTGTTACTTTTAATAAGAATGCTGCAAAGGATACACTTGAGCTTATCATCAGGTCAAGGTTGTAAGACATTTTTTACATGTTTTCAGGAAAATAATTACATGATTCATCATAAATCAGGAAAGAGAAAGGAAAAGGTAAACAAAAGTGGTATGAAGATGATGTGATATTTATTTACCAATCAAAGAAATAAAAATAATAACAGAACTTTTTATTTTTGTGAATAAAAATAAAATAAACCTTCGTATTCATCAAAAATAAAATAAAATATAACCTTCACCTATAAAGAAAGAAAAATGTACCTTCTTGAGTGCACATTTTTCTCGGCCAGGTGCGTCCCCTGGTACAGCTTATGAAGTTTAAGAATGAAGTCATACCATTTGAAGTCTTGAAGAATCACCACCTGGCACACATACAGTGTAATCCAAAATTAATGTTGATAGAAAAGCATGGCTTTGTCACACATAAATAGTTGGTGCAACCATTGAACATGAACAAGATGGTATAGAGAAATTTTTTAACCTCAAAATCTCCACTGCAGGGGTCAGCATTTGGAGTGATTTTCATGCCACCACCAAAGAACTTTGCATTTCCAATGCAAAGGGCTGTTACTTGAGGAAATATTTCCCACTCTCCCCCATTGACCTAGAGAAAACAACTTTTTATAAGGTTAAAAAACCAGTCATTATCACTTGAATCCCATAATCCACATGTGTAAAAATTGAACATGTGCACCCAAAAACTCAAAAAAACCACTAACCTTGATCCTAAGGTCCTGATTTTTGTGCCCAACAAAGCCCCTCAAAGCACCAATGACATAACATAAGTTCCCAAATCTTTTATATTGAGAAGCATAATAACCTGCCTTTGCACTCCTGCAGACTTCCACAACATATAATGGTGAGACATTTAAAATCAAAACTGCTGAATTGTCAGGCCTGATCCCAGAAAAGCATAAAGAATGCTCCTTACAAATGTATATCGGCAACATTTATAAAATAGTGAGGTTCTCCACTTTCTCCATTAATAACTCCAACATCTATACGAGATTTCTGCCCTGGCAAACCTTCCTTCTTAGATAAAATAACAAATTAAATGCATATATGTATCACTTGTACACCCAAAAAATGGAGATGCAAACAAGTCACCGTAAGCCAAAACTTTGATGGTCATACACTGAATCAAATATTACAATGAAATAAGGGGGAGAAGTGGTAAGGCATAACAACCTTTAACTATGCGTTCAATGGCATCATGAGGGTCATTTTTCCTGAAAAAGCAAATCATAAAGGAAGCAATGAACTAACACAAATAACCAAAAATTCAAAGTCTCATGTCAAATGAAGCAAGGTAGGAGCAAGAACTAACCAACCAAAAGTTCTGGCAAAATCAGATCCAGTCCCCAAGGGAATGAGCTGTCAAGAGAGATAGCATAATCACATATTCACTTGACAAGGACCAGATAGTTTAGAAATAGCACCACCATGTACTTTGCATTCTGTAACCAAGAACACCAAAAGCAATAACTTTTAAAATTTTCTACCAAAAAGAAATCGCATATTTTAATCACTTACACCAAGAGCAGTTGTATGTGTAGCCTCCTGGTCTTCAGCAGCAACAGGTTTTCCTCCCCAGAAGAAGCCATTTACAACCTGCTAATTGCAATCCAAATGTATCAGTGACATTTATCTAATTCTTTATCGTGATCTACTGAGAAAGGTATCTTCTGGCCTAATTAGACAAACCCAACTTCCAATACTGAATCTTTAAGCAGAAATTGTGATGCAGGATCTGATTCAAATATTCACTACATCAGATCAAGACATTCATTTAATTTGATTCAAGCCTGATGAAGGGGAATTTGGCCCGACCTCGCAATCACCCGACACGTGGCGAAAACAAGCAACTCGGGACAGTAGAGCGCCCGAAGCGAGCACCGAAAGCAAGTCCAAGCTCACTACTGAGCCCGAACTCCACCAGACCGCTCTAAAAGGAGCCCGAGCTCCCTACCAAGAGTCCGAGCTCCCTACGGGGAGTCCAAGCTCCCTATTAAGAACCCGAGCTCCCT